CTTTTCCTTTGTCTTTATCATATTCTTCCTCCTTTTTCCTTATTATTATTCTTCACCTTTTTCATTTTCAGATATATGCAAACAGTTTTTCTCAGAACTTTTTCCAACACTTGCGTGATCATTGATTCGTTTTTTTAATGGGCCAGATGTTGGTATTTTGAGTATTACCTTATTGATATCCATTTTTTCCTATTACGCTTTTTTCGTATTATTTTCCTCTTGCCTTGGAATTTGCTTTGCTTGTCGAGACGGCTACAATGAATGGTTGCTGACGAAAAGCGACACAGAAATTTGTTGTTCTTAAAATTATTTTATAAATTATTTGTTCAGAGAATTGGAAAGACGAAAATGTAAAAAAAGCAAAATAAAAAATTAATGGTAATGGTAATGGTTATTCAGAACTTGATTTTTTTTTCTAGAAAAAATGAAATTTTTCCTGCTGTTATTTTTTTCAATTTTAAAGTGGAGAAGAATTTTAGTTTGGTTGAAAAATTTGAAGTTTAAAGTAACTGAAGTTTGTAAATGGACAAAGAGATGCACTCTTAGAAACGTTATTTAGATTTTTTTTCAATATAAAATTTGTTTTTTTTTTTTCTTTCTAGCTACTAACCTGTTGTCTAGAACAAGATTAGGAAACGATGGTTTTTTTGTCGTATTTTTTGCTATGCTTAAGCTGTTCTGAACCAGATTTTTCTTCAACAAGTTTATTCCTTTTTTTTTTTCTTTTTTTTCTCTTTATTTTATTGGTTCGATAATAATTTGAATGATTTTGGCACAATCTTTTTTTCATTTACTTGTCTTTTCTTTCCTCGCTTATCATTGTTCTCCATTCAGTGATTACTGTTATGCAGTATTTTCACTTCATAGATTTTTTTTTTCTTCTGAGGAAAGTACGAAAAATGGGGATGAGGAAGGCTGTGAAGAGGAGTTGAATAAAAGGAAGAAATGGGAAAGGAAGGGCGAAAGGGAGTAGCTAAGGGAGTTGAAAAGTGAGTAGTGTGGTTGGTGTATTTAGGCAGTTGGCATTTATTGTATGTAGACGAGTGTTCTGATGTTTAGCATTAATATATTGGGATGGTCATCAGGAGTTAGTTGCATTTTTTTTATATTTTATTGTCCAGATATCTGCTATGCACGAGTGCTTTTGCCGTCCTCATTATTGCTGTAATTATTGTCATTCAAGTAAAGTCATTTGCTACTCAAACGTTTCATTTTTATTCATTATTGTTTTTTTTTTTTTT